GCAAACATATCTAACAACAAGAACAGACAGGGAAACGTTGCTGAAAAAGAACAGGGATGGTGGTTTGAAATGCATGTGTTTCAATGTGAAAAACATAATGGGCATGATAGATGAACTCAGAGATTTGGTTAGTAGTTGGAACTATGGCATCATTGCGATTATGGAGACTTGGCTGAAAGAGGGACAGCTGAATGTCCCAGGTGTTCAATGTTTCAGGTGTGACAGAAAGGGATGTAAACGGTGCAGAAATTGCATTGCTGGTAAAGGAATATCTCACAGATGTACTGAGGGAGGATACATCAGAGGACTCGTGCAGTGAGACAATATGGATAGAACTCAGGAATTGGAAAGGTGAAATCACAGTGCTGGGGACATACTACAGGCCTCCAAACAGCCAGCAGGAGGTAGACGACAGAATATGCAGACAGATTTTGGAAAGATGTAAAAACAGGGTTGTTGTGTTGGTTGATTTTAACTTCTCCTACATTGACTGAAACTCACTTCGTTCTAGGGTCTTGGATGGCACAGAATATGTAAAGACCATTAACAGTTCAACCAGGGAAGGGCTTTATTGGACCTGGTTTTGGGAAATGAGCCCAGCCAGGTGAGTCACGTTTCAGTCGGGGAACACTTTGAGAGTAGTGACCATAATACTATAAATTTTAAGATACTTATCATCGGGATAACGGCAGCCCTTGGGTGAACGTGTTAAATTGGGGGAAGGGGAACCATAACAATATTAGGCAGGAACTGGAGAATGTTGATTGGTGGTGGTTGTTAGAGGGTAAATCCAAATTGGACATGTGCAGCAGTTGATAAGAGTTCAGGAGCAGCAAGTTCGTGCGAGAGTGAAGGATAGGTGAATCACATTACGTGAACCTTGGATGACCAGGGATGTTATGACCTTGCGCAAAAAGAAAAATAAAAGCATACATAAGGTCTGGGAGGATGGGAAGTGGCAAAGCACTTGAAATATCTAAGAAAAGTATGAAAGAACTTGAACAAGGAATTAGAAGGTCAAAAACGGGTCACAAAATGTCGTTAGAAAACAGGATTAAGGAGAATCCCAAGACATTTTATACATGTATGAAAAGAGTAGCCAGGGAATAGATAAGTACAAAGAATGGAATCTATGTGAGGAACCAGAAGAGATAGGCAAGGTCCTAAACGAATACTTTCTGTCAGTGTTCACCAAAGACATGGAATTTGTGGAGGATTATCTCAGGGAAGGGAGTGTCGAATTTTGAAGCCAAGTTGCTATTAAAAATGGAGAGGTGGTGTGCGTCTTCAAAAGTATTAAGATAGAAGACTCACCAGGTCCTGATGGGATCTATCCCAGAAAGTTGAGTGAGGCAAGATAACAAATTGCTGGAACATTGACAGCATCTTTATACCCTTCAAGGTTTTAGCAAAGATTCTTAGCTCGGGTTGTGGGTGAGATTGCTGACTTGCTCGTCGAACTGGCTTGCTTTCATTCAGATGTTTCGTCACCATGCTAGGTAACATCATCGGCGAGGCCCCTGATGAAGTGATGTTGCTCTACTTAACTTGGAAGGGAAGGGATCAACTGGCAAATAGATGCTTTTAAAGTGTCATATCAAGAGTCCAGGGAAAGTATGTCCCTGTTAGGGTGAAGGGGAAAGCTGGCAGGTTTATGAATCCCTGGCTGACAAGGGATATTGAGGCTATGGCCAGGAAAAAGAAGACATACGTTGGGTTTAAGCTGTCAGGCTGAAGTGAATCCCTAGATGCCTATTGAAAGTGTAGGAGAACACTTGAGAGGGAAATCAGAAGAGCAAAAAGTGGGTATGAGATGGATCTGGCCGATAATGTTAACGATAATCGCAAGAGGTTCTATAGCTATATTAAGAGTAAAAGGGCGGCTGGAGAGAGAACAGGTCCCTTAAAGATCAACACGGCCGTCTATGTGTGGAGCCACAGGAGTTGGGGACGATTTTTAATGAATATTTCCCCTCATTATTTACTGAGGACAGAATCATGGATAATGAGGAAATAAGGGAAACAAGTGGGGATATCTTGGACCACATACACATTAACAGAGAGGAGGTGTTTGCAGCCTAAAGTGTATTAAGGTGGAAAAATCCCCTGGGGCCTGATAAAGTTCATCTCAGATGTTGTGGGAGGCTAGGGAAGAAATTGCAGAGATCTTTGCTTCATCTTTAGCCACTGATGAAGTTCTAGAAGGCTGCAAGGTGGCTAATGTTGTTCCATTGTTTAAGAAAGGTGGCAAAGACAAGCCAGGGAACCACAAGCCAGTGAGCCTGATATCAGTGGTAGGCAAGTTATTGGAGAAGATATTGAGGGACAGGATCAACCAACATTTGGATAGTCAAGGTCTGATTAGGGATGGTCAGCATGGATTTGTGTGCGGGAAGTCATGTCTGATAAAATCTTTTAGAGTTTTTCGAAGAGGTAACCAAGACGATGGATGATAATAGGGCAGTGAATGTTGTCAATAAGAACTTTAGTAAGGCCTTTGACAAAGTCCCGCATTGCAGGCTAGTCATGAGAGTTAGGTCACATGGGATCCAGAGAGAGCTAGTTAATTGGATTCAAAATTGGCTCAATGGTAGAAAGCAAAAGGTGATGGATGAACGTTGTTTTTCGGACTGGAGGCCTGTAATTCGTAATGTGCCACAAGGGTCGGTGTCATGACATTTGTTATTTGTTATTTACATAAGTGATCTGGATATGAGTGCTCAAGGCATAATTAGTAAGTTTGCGGATGATACAAAATTAGGAGATATTGCTGATAGCAAGGAAGGTTGTCAAAACTTACAGGGGGATCTTGATCAAATGGAGAATTGGGCTGAGGATTGACAAATGCAGTTCATTACAGATAAGTGTGAGGTGTTGCATTTTTGAAAGTCAAACTAAGGTAGGACTTATACAGTAAATGGTAAGGTCCTAAGGAGTGTTGTGGAACAGAGAGGCCTAGGAGTACAAGTACATAGTTCATTGAAAGCAGCGTAACAGGTGAACAGGACAGTGAAGAATGCATTTAGCATGCTGGCCTTCATCGGTCGAGGCATTAAGTATAAGAGTAGGGAATTAATGTTACCGTCGTATAAGTTAATGCCGAGGGCGCACTCCTGATGAAGGGTCTAGGCCCGAAACGTCAGCCTTCCTGCTCCTGTGATGCTGCTTGGCCTGCTGTGTTCATCCAGCTCTGCACCTTGTTGTCTCAGATTCTCCAGCATCTGCAGTTCCTACTATCTCTTGTTGTGTTGTGTACAGTTTTGCTCCCTTTGTTATGGGAAAGACATATTTAAACTAGAAAGTATGTAAAGAAGATTTACGAGGATGTTGCCAGGACTAGTGGGACTGAGTGATTGTGAGAGGTTGGCCAGGATAGGACTTTATTCATTTATTATTTGTACCTCCTCTCCCTCGTCTCCATCCCATAACTTCGAAACAGGTCACAAACTACAATTAGGCGGGATGAATGGCGGTATTATTACCCACCATCCCTCGCGGTGCTAAAAGTCCCCTATCTATCTCACAGAGGTGACCTTATTAAGGTGTAAAAAATCATGAGGGGCATAGATAGGATGAACGCATATAGTCTTTTTTCCAGAGATGGGGAATTGAAAACTGGAGGGCATAGGTTTAACATGAGAGGGGATAGATTTAAGAAGGACCTGAGGAGCAACTTCTTCACGCAGAGAGTAGTGTGTATATGGAATGGGCTGCCAGAGAAAAAGGTTGAGACATGTACAATAGCTACATTAAAAAAAAACATTTGGACAGGTACATGGATGAGAAGAGTTGAGAGGGGACACAGAATAAATACGGGCAATTGGAACTAGCTGAGAGAGCACTATGGTCAACAGGGACCAGTTTGGACCGAAGAGCTTGTTTCCATGCTGTATTACTCTATGACACTGAGTATGAGAGTAGGAAAGTTATGGTGCAGCCTTATTGAACTTATAGTTAGGCTATACTTGGAATATTGCGTACAACACATGACCACACTGCCAGAAGGATGTAGGTGCTTTGGAGAGGGTATAGAAAATGTTTACTAGGATGTTGCCTGGAATGAGGGATTTTAGATACAGTGTATGAAGAAAAGAAAGGCAAACTGGGTTCTTCACTGGACTGCAGAAGGTTGAGGAGCGATCTGCCAGATGTTTATATGGTTGGAAATTACATGGATGGAGTGAAAAGTATGAGGCTTTTTCCCAGGGTGGAGGGGTGAATTACGAGGAGATATGGGTTCAAGGTGCGAAGTAGAAAGTTTAAAAGAGATTTGAGAGGCGAGGTTTTCACACAAGGGGTGGTGACTGCCTGGAACGTGTTGCCAGGGGAGATGTTGGAAGCAGACACAATAGCAGCATTCAAGAAATACTTGGATGAATACATGAATAAGAAGCGAATAGAGAGATACAGATCCTGTAATTAAAGACAATTTTAATATGCAATGGCAAAATGTGTCAGCACAGGCTTGGAGGGTCGAACGGCCTGTTCCTTTTCTGTATTGTTCTTTGTTCTTCATTCTAGATTCTCCACAAATGTGAGTATTTACTTTGTTTGAAAGTTTACAGGGAAGGTTACATGATCATTGCAATAACACCAAACGGAAGCTGTTTCTATCTTCTCTGCATGGGCTGTTCATCCAATCCGCTGAGACACTGCTGAGTTCAGATGTGACTGTAGGTTTGAATTCTGCTGTCATTGCTGCTGTTTGGATGGTGTATTCTTCCTCCGCATATTCACATTCTCTTCCTTATTGGTGGATGATGAAAAAAATCAAGGAGTTGGATTTATGTAAAAATTGTTTCATTTATTATTTGTACCTCCTCCCCCTCGTCTCCATCCCACAACTTCGAAACAGGTTACAAACTACAATTAGGCGGGATGAATGGCGGTATCATTACCCACCATCCCTCGCGGTGCTAATGGTCCCCTATCTATCTCACAGGCGAGTGATGCGCAAACGGAATGCGTGGAGTATGCGCAGTCCTGATGCTGAGTTTGCGGTCCGGGCGGAAGGAGCGATGGAACCGGCAGCTGGACGGGGCGGCTTCCTTTGGGAACAGGGTGTGTGGCCGCAAAGGCCGGGGAAGGAACTCCCGGTATCGGAGTTTGTGAAGAGCGGGGACAGTGAGCTGCAAGGGGGAAACTGGACTGACATAGATGGGTTTTATAAACTCCTTTTGTAGGAGGCGAGAAGGGGAGGATCTTCAAACTGCAATCCGGAGAAATGTTTGTCTCTTCCCAATCTCCATTCTGCAACGACGCAGATGGGGGTTTATAAACTTAAAATAATGCAGCCGTTGGGAAAGACTGAACAGATTGGGGCCTTTGAGGAAGGGTCATCAGTTTAAAATGATAAGTGTTTTGGACGGGGCCAATATGTAGAGAATGTTTCCAAGTGAAATTTCCTCACTTGGAATGATTAAAATGTGGAATTCAGCAAATAGTGTATTCAAAAGTAAACGAGAATGGTCTGAGAAGAAGGGATTAGAAAAATATGTCGGAAAACTGAGATGAGGTGAATGAAATGAAAGGGAAAACATAAAAACAGCAGAGTAATTGGACTGAACAGCCTATTTGTTTATTTCCTACTCTAATTATTTCATTTTAAACTCTTTTTGCAGGGTATTCAGAAGGTTGTATTTACATCCAAGAGGTGAAACAATGCATCACATCAAAATCTGACACTCACTCAATTAATCAGAATCTGGACATTATTGGCTTCTGAATGTGCAGGGAGAAATGCCTATCTCTGCGAAAATCATCAGTGTGACTGCAAAAGCACTGAGACACACAGACTCGAGGGATAGTTTGAAAGAGTGTTAATTGGTTCCTCAGCCCGAAAATTAATTACACCATCCACAACGGGGAGAGACTGTCCATGTGATCTGTCTGTGGACATCAGTTTCAGTCAATCATTGAACCTGGAAAGAATTAAGGACACTGACACCATGGAGAAACCATGGAAATGTGGTGACTGTGGGAAGGGATTCCGTTACCCATCAGGGTTAGAAACTCATCAACGCAGTCACACAGGGGAGAGGCCTTTTAGCTGCTTGGTGTGCGGGAAGGGATTCACTCAGTCATCCAGCCTCTACACACACCAGCATGTTCACACTGGGGAGAAGCCATTCACCTGCTCCGTGTGTGGACAGGGATTTAATGCTTTGTCAACCCTCCGGACTCACGAGCAGGTTCACTCTGATGAAAGACCGTTTAAATGTTCTGACTGTGAGAAGAGTTTTAAAAGCAGAAAGGATATATTGATACATCAACGCAGTCACACTGGCGAGAGACCATTCATCTGCAAAGTGTGTAGGAAAGGATTCACTCAGTCATCCCATCTCCTGACACACCAACTAGTTCACACTGATGAGAGACCTTTTAAATGTTCTGACTGTTTGAAGAGCTTTAAAAGTAAAAAGGATTTACTGAACCACCAACGTGCTCTGACTGGGGAGAGACCATTCATCTGTTCTGTGTGTGGGAAGGGATTCACTAGTTCATCCTACCTTCTGACACATCAACTTGTTCACACTGATGAGAGACCTTTTGGCTGTCCTGACTGTGAGAAGAAATTTAAAAGCAGAAAGCATCTTCTTAAACACCAATACACTCATACAGGGGAGAGGCCATTCCCCTGCTCTGTCTGTGGGAAAGGATTCACTCGATTATCCCACCTGCTGAGACACCGTCGACTTCACACTGGGGAGAGGCCATTCTCCTGTGCTGACTGCAAACAGGAATTTGTTGATTCATCTGACCTTCTGATCCACCAGCGAGTTCACACTGGGGAGAGACCATACATCTGCTCGCTGTGTGGCAAGAGATTCACTCAATCATCCCACCTGACCACACACCAACTTGTTCACACTGATGAGAGACCTTTTCAGTGTTCTGATTGTGAGAAGAGGTTTAAAAGTAAACAGAATCTGCTGAAACATCAACAAATTCACACGGGGGAGGGACCGTTCACGTGCTCCTTGTGTGGTAAAGGATTCACTCAGTCACACAGCCTCCTGAGACACCAGCAACTTCACCTGCGAGAGCAGCAAATGGATTCTACTGTTAACTACATCCGGGACTGAACCTTGTCTGGCTGCTCATTTCCACCAGGTTCCACAGTTGTGTGGTATATATCAAGGATTTAGACTTTAATGTAGAGGCCATGATGAAGAAATTTGTAGATAGCAAAGAAGTTGTGGTGGCCAATGAGGAATAAAGCTGTAGACTGCATGATGTTAATAGACAACTCAGAGACAGAAACATGGCTAATGAAATTAATTCTGGAGATAATGAATCTGGGAGGGAAGGGGGCCAACAGGGCAAAGAAAATGCACAATAACTGGTCGGATACTGAGAAATGTCAAGGCACAGCGAGAACTCAAGAGTGGCATCCACAGATCCTTGAAGGTGGCTGGACAGGCAGGTAAGGAGATCAGTGAGGCATTTGGTTGAGCCTCGAATATAAGAGCTGGAACTTTAGAAAACACTAGTTAGAGCACAGATGGAGTACTGAGGGCAGTTCTGGTCATCACTTTAATCAGCTAGAAAGTGAGACTAGAGTAATTATCATCAACTGAAATCAATTTATTTATCTAATTACAGTCAGTGTTGAATGCATCACGTGTAGCTGTTAAAGATAAATCTAACTACGAGCGATTGTAACAGTGAAAATAAGTGTTCAGCAAATTAAAATCTGCCATGTTTCAATAACAATAATTAAGAAAAACATTTTGGTTAACTTTCTGTTAAATAAGGTGAATTCTGTGTAATGGAAGAAGTTGATTGATGAGTAGCTAATGAATCATTCTTGGTTTTAATCTGAAGTTTATTTTGGTTTAGTTAATAAACAAACACATGGTAGTGTATCCCAGTCCCACAAGTGCACATCCATTTCCATGTGGGAAAACCAGGATAATGAGAATGACAGCACAGAAACAGGCCCGTTTGCCCAATTCATTCATGCTGACTGGGTTTACTAAACTGAATTAGTCCTGTTTGGCTCATATCCCTTTATAACTTTCCTATCCACATACTTGTCTCAACATCTTTTGGATGTCATAATTGTACGCGCCTCTACCAGTACCTCTGGTAATTCATTCCAAATACGAACCACCGTCTGTGTGTAAAAGTTGTCCCTCAGGACCCTACTAAACCTTTCCCCTCTCAACTTAACCCATACCCTCTAGTTCTGGACTCATCTACACTTGGAAAAAGACCTTGGCCATTCACCTTATCTGTGTTCCTCATGATTTTATAAACCTATATAACATCAACCCCTCAGCCTCCTAGACTCCAGGGAATTAGGTACGAGGCGATCCAGCCTCTCCTTCTCACTCAAATCTTTCAATCTTGGTAATATCCTAGTCAATCTTTTTTGCATCCTTTCCAGTTTAATAGCATCCTTCTTATACCAGGGTGACCAGAATTGTATGCAGTATTCCAAATGTAGCCTCACCAATGTCTTGTACAGCTGTAACATGACATCCTAACTCCTGGAGTTGGTGCTCTGACCAACAAAGGCAAGCGTGCCAAATGGCTTCTTCGTCACCTTGCCCACCTGTGATGCCAGGGACGTAGTGCTTGTGATTGATGAAAACACACATTTGACCACAGCTAAAGTACTGCACTCAGCTCTGGTCCCCCATTCCAGGATAGACGTGGTCACATCAGAGACGGTACAGAGGAAATTAATGAGGATGTTTCCAGGATTGGAGAATTTTAGCTCGGACAAAAGATTGGATAGGCTGGGGTTGTTTTTTTGTGGAACAGAGGAGACCAAGGTGAGATTTAATTGAAATGATAAGATAATGAGGAGTCCAAAGAGAGTGGATAGAAAAGAGCTATTTATTTAGAGGGAGGCCAATAACTGGAGGTTTTAGATTTAAAGTAATTTACAGAAAGACGGGGAGGTGAGAAATCATTTCATCCAGAGATGGTGGGGAGCTCGAACTCACAGCCTGAGGAGGAGATACAGAAAGAAACCCACATTATTTTTTAGAAATAACATGGATATGCTTGAAATGCAGAACACACGGGGCTATGGTCTGATATCAGCAGAATGGGATCAGCCTGGATAGTTCTATTTCAGCCAACACAAACATGATGGGCCAAGTGGCCTTGATATGTGCTGTAACTTTCTGATGTTTTTATTCTGACCATTGAAGTTTGTTTCTGATGATGCTGAGAACCTTTTATATTAGACCGGAGTTTAACGTTCTGAAGAAATGTCAAATAAATCAGTTTTGCTTCAAACATGTCAGTGGAGATTGTCATATTTCTCCCAAGTGTTTAATATCACCTGGAGCTGAGGGAGGATTGTACAACAGCAACAGAACTTCAGCCTGGACACATCCTTCAGGGTTACACTGAGGGAGACAAATGGCACTTTGGTGTTTCTTGTCTGTCTTCTCTGACAGCAAAGCCCTGGTGTGTAAGAAATGTGTCCCAGCCACTGTCTTCCATGGTTTAGAGCTCCTAGACACAGAATAGAATCTCATTTACAATAGGGTTTAGAGTCACAGGAAGAACAATGATGAATGCTGGAAATATGCTTCAAATCAGAGATTAGTATAAAACTGTGATCTGTTCCTGACTGGAAGTGAACCTGTAGCTTCAAATTTCCCCTACATTGGTAAAGATAAGACAGTGTTTTGCAATCCAAGCTGAGCTAGAAATTATATTTCACCAAGAGTGTGACCAACGGGGGAGGTTGACAAAATATTAACTTCATTTTTTAAATAACCACATACATAACACACATTGATTGGTCAGGAGAGGGTGTAATCGGGGTTAGTGTTTGTGCTGGGAAGTGTTCGTTCTGAAGTAGTCTCACCTGAAACTGTCTCCATTAATTCATCACTTTCTAATGATGTGGGACCTATCCACATGTTTGTTCTTTTCAGTTTTCCAGGATTTTTTTTTATTTGGTTTTCTTAAATCTATATTAAATCATGTTATTATTGCAACACTGAAATCCCAAAGGTTTTAGCTCTTTGTTAAAGCCAATTCCTATCGAGTACAGGAGGGTTGACTGGCCCTTACCTTTATTGTATCAATAAAGAAGGGTCTTTCAAGGTGTTTGTAAAAACAAAGTGCTGGCGAACTCAGCAGATCTGGTTGCATCATGGAGAAACAGTTAATGTTTCCATTCCGAGATAGTAGGAACTGCAGATGCTGGAGAATCTGAGATAACAAGGTGTAGAGCTGGATGAACACAGCAGGCCAAGCAGCATCAGAGGAGCAGGAAGGCTGACGTTTCGGGCCTAGACCCTTCTTCAGAAATGGGGGAAGGGAAAGGGCATTCTAAAATAAACAGGGAGAGAGGGGGAGGCAGATAGAAGATGGATAGAGGAGAAGATAGGTGGAGAGGAGACAGACAGGTCAAAGAGGCAGGGATGGAGCCAGTAAAGGTGAGTGTAGGCGGGGAGGTAGGGAGGAGATAGGTCAGTCCAGGGAGGACGGACAGGTCAAGGGGG